AAAAAATGTTTTTATTGATTTTTTACAGAGAGGAAGGGAGAGGGATAGAGAGTTTGAAACATCAATGAGAGAAATATTGATCAGCTGCCTCCTGCACACCCCCTACTAGGGATGCCCCCGCAACCAAGGTATATGCCCTTAACCAAAATCAAACCTGGAACCCCTCAGTCTGTAGACCGACACTCTATCCACTGAGTCAAACCAGTTAGGGCTCTTCTAAGATTTTTATGCTTTCCCCTCTTATGTTTAAGTCCTTTATGCATTTTGAGTTTATTTTTTTGTATAGTGTAAGTTGGTGGTCTAGTTTCATTTTTTTGCATGTATCTGTCCAATTTCCCCAATACCATGTATTGAAGAGACTATCTTGACTCCATGGTATGCTCTTGCCTCCTTTGTCAAATATTAATTGAGCATAATGGCTTGGTTCCATTTCTGGGTTTTCTATTCTGCTCCATTGATCTATATGCCTGTCTTTGTGCCAGTACGAGGCTGTTTTGATTACAAGGCTTTGTAGTATAATTTGATATCAATATTGTGATCCTTCCTACTTTGTTTTTCTTTCTCAAGATTGCTGCAGCTATTCGGGGTCTTTTTTTGTTCCATATAAATTTTTGGAGTATTTGTTCTAGATCTGTGAAATATGCCATTGGTATTTTAATAGGGATTGCGTTGAATCTGTAGATTGCTTTGAGTAGTATGGATATTTTACTGATGTTAATTCTTCCAATTCATGAACATGCTATGTTATTCCATTTGTTTATGTCTTCCTCTATTTCTTTTTCCAATGTCCTGTAGTTTTCCGAGTACATGTCTTTTACCTCCTTGGTTAAGTTTATTCCTAAGTATCTCAAATTTTTTGTTACAATGGTAAATGGGATTGTGTTTTTAGTTTCTCTTTTTGAGTATTCATTATTGGTGTATAAAAATGCCATCGATTTCTGGATGTTAATTTTGTGCCCTGCTACTTTGCAGAACTAAATCTAGTAGGTTTTTTTGGTTGAGTATTTAGGATTTTCTATGTACAATGACATGTCATCTTTGAATAATGACAGTTTCAACTCCTTTTAATATTTTTTAAGAGCATTCTACATATACTACATAATCAACCTCTCCTTTAAATCAAAACAGTTTCATAAGATGCAAATAAAAATTTGTGACAGGTTTAATATAGTTTTGATCATAATTTACAGATGAGCTTTGCAAGTAGGGGTCAGAGGGCATTAATTTTTCCCATAGTTAAGCTAAAATAAACATGTTCCTTCTAGTCATGATTACATTATTAAACCCCATTACTCACACTTAATCACAGCACTTTTTGTTTTCAAAAATATCATACAATGGTATGCAAAGCAGTAAATTAAGCTCTTTATTTTATCTATGATATTTTGGCAAAAACTCAGGAATATAACAAAAAAGGAAGATGTTGATTATAAATTTCCACTAAATTTAGTATCTGTTAACCAAAGCCTAAATTTCTATATTCTTCAGTTAAATAAGAGCTTCTACCCAAGTCTAATTTGTCTTTAAGGACAGTCATTTGTCTTCCGAATATTTGAAAAGATTTTTTAAAATAGTGCTACGATTGTTGTTTCTATAATTCTAAACTTTGATAGCAATTATAGTATACTACATTTCCTTTCTGAATAGCTTTTGAATTAATGTAAAATAGTATTTTTTAAGTTATACATGTGTAAACATTGTATTACCTTATTTCTCTTGTGTTGATAGTAATGCTTATGTTTTAGTACTGTTTTTTGCTTCTGAATATTTGTGTTGCTTTTGTATGTAGTTTATCTACTGTTTATAAAATTTGATTTATAATAAATATTGTTAAAATGAAAATGGCTAAACACTTATTTTTAAAGAGCATTTCTATAACAAACATTTACTCATATATGTGCCAGCTCCAGCACCAGCAGCAGGTGTGAGTGGGGTCGGCGCCGGCAGCAGGTGCAAGTGCCAGGCAGGACCAAGGCGCATGGGAGCAAAGAATTTTCAGTAACCACCAGAGGCCCACCTCAATGACAGCTACTGGCCCCTCACCTTGGTCTGGTGCCCCTGATCACCTGCTTCACCATCCCACCACAGCTGATTCCAGCCATGTTCTATGCACGCCCCCTCGTGGTCAGTGCACATCATAGCGACTGGTTCTTCAGTTGTTCCAGTCTATTTGCATATTAGCCTTTTATTAAATAGGATTATTACCCAAATTACCAGACCCGGCTGGCCCCACCCCCATCAAGCCCTGCCGGGTGGGGGTGCAGCCTCAGGTCCCCCAGCACGGTGCTGTGGCAGAGAGTGTGGCCTCAGGTCTCCCAGCCCAGCACCGGGGTGGGGAGCATGGCCTGAGGTCCCCTGTCAAGCCCCGCTGGGTGGGGGTGTGTGGCCTGAGGTCCCCTGTCAAGCCCTGCTGAGTGGGGGGGTGCGGCCTGAGCCAAACTTCATTTGAATTTTAGTAATGGAAACCTTCTTTGTGAAAATGGAATCATTCACTGTTGACTTGGTTTTCTTTTTTTGGTAAATACAGGCACACGTGGGGGATGTTGCGGGTTTGGTTCCAGACCACTATAATAAAGTGAGTATCACAATAAAGTGAGTTATAATCTTTTTGCTGGTGGAGTGTTTTGCTTTCATTTTGTAAAAACCACAACACCTGTGAAGCACAAGAAGTGAGGTCTGCCTGTAGAGTGTTGGGGGAGG